TATTTGGGTCAAAACTTTCAAAATTATATAAATGAATGGTTAAAACACAACATTTTTATTGTCTAATATTATAAAATTTAAAAAATATCATTTTTTCAATAGTAATAATAATAATAATTAAACTCAAAAAATAGTTATCCATTTAATTATCCATTTATACGATTCCTAACATCAAAGACATGAAGAGACAGAAAACAAATTAAACTAAAAGTTTTGTTTAAATAACAATTTGTGGAAAAATATTCATTTTGTCATAATATGAACGAAACAAAGCATTGTCTGAATAAATTGTCTCCAATAAAAACGACAAGTTTTTTGTGACAACTCTTTGCTAAACACTTAAAGTAATTATAATTAAGTCGATTAGTGAACCAAAAATGTTATATACATTTTCCATACATTATATGCACTGCAAAAAAATAAAAACTACCAAAACTTCTGGCATTTTTCTAACGTGAAAACTGTGAATAAACTTTGATTTTAACGCTAAAATATTTCGCTTAAAACACACACATCTCTGCCGACGAGTAAAAAGCAAACAAATATACAAAAATTCAAACAATTATTTTATTTACACATCAAATAAAAATTTGCTAAAATATTTATGAGTCCCAAAAATTCCATCAAATGAATAGCCGATTGGTTTTCAAAGCCATAAATATTTGTCAAACATATTTCAGTCAATTCACTACATTTGGTTCACTCAATGCAACCTTTGACCGATTCATAGCCACTATATCTCTATACAAAACACTGAATCAAACAGTGATAGTATAGGACACCGATAGGCATAGTATGTATGTAATAGTGATATAACAATAACTAATCAAATAATGAGTGCAAAGCGAGTCAAACCATATGGCAATCAATGCTTACCTTTAATTGAATGATAAATTGAATGCTGTGTTAGTATTAGTCGAGTATAACGCGAACCCAAACACAAACACTAACTGTAAAACTGTATTCAATACTGTATTCACCAAAACATTCACAACACTTCTCACACTCTGTATGGCATTCACTCTCTTCACAACTCATTGGCCAATACTCTCATCACATGAGAGCCAAATGTGTCAAAAGGCGTCCCTTATATCCCATAACCATAAGAGTTATGCCTTTTTTGCAAATCAAACCCGACTTGTTTTGTACAAATTACGCCAAATGATCGAGATGAATCTGTTATATTTAAGTTAAACATGGTTACCATTAAATGAGATTACTTTGGTGTTGTTTAACTCATTTAAATCTCTTTGATTTGCCTATCATTTACATCCACTCTCTAAGACACCAACCATTTTACCACAGTTTGTGGTGAATATCTTTAGTACAATAAAGTATAACTCAATGCCTCTCAACCTTCAAACATAACATAAAATAACTGTTAATTAAAAACAATTTATTTTAATAATAAGTTTAAGAATTTGTATTTTGTTTATGAAAATAGTAACACAAGTCTATTATATGGATGTAAATAAAAGCATATTCAATACATGTATGTTTGACTACTCATTGAGCAAAGACCCTAAACTCATGGAGTTTTATACATTACGTTATATTAACTTTAAAATTAATGAATGAATTTTTAATAATCACTAAATATTTGTTTGTTTTACAATAACTAATACAAAGAATTAGTGTTTAATTTGTAATTATTTAAAATAACCTAAAAACTAATGACATTATATTTATTTCTTAATATATTTCTCTTTATTTAACAGTAAGACGTAAGCGACGGCTGCGGACATACCGATGGCGGCGCCAATGGCTGAGCGCCTCAAACGGATTTGCCATAGTTTGCGGCCTAAAGGGACACAAATCAAACCATTAGACCATTAAATAACACTAAATCAAACTCAAGACAAACCCATTTCCAGTGCTTTTTCTGTCCGCTTATTAGTGGGCGGCGATGAAAGGCCTCCATAGAGAGCACCGGTGGATACGGCGGCGCAAACCGTATTGATGTCATCGTTGGTGTCCTGAACGAAGGACAGGCCCACACCGATAGCCGAGTATAACAGCGCTATTGTGCCGAAAGTGTTGGCCATTCCGGCGCCGTTTTTCGTCACGTAATTAAGTAATTGCGAGCGACGGACGGCTACCGACTCCTTCAGCTCCGACACTACTCTCAGACCTGAGTGGACACAAATGGGCGTTAAAAACAAACCATTAGATCAATCGCGAGACAGCGCGAGTGTTGACAAACCTCTATAGACGCCAATAGTGCCGCCAATGCCGGCGCCGGTCATCACCGACGACCCGATCTGACTGAAGGCCAACTCGAAGCGGCCTCTATTGGCGCGATGGCCGCCGTCCGGGAAAATGAACTCCGATTTGCCGGCGTTGGCCTCCAGAAGGAGCGGATCGAACTGCAGGTACGGCGACTGTATCTGCGCTCCGCCGAGCGCTCCGTAACCGCCCAGCGCTGACGTCAGGCCCGAAGAGGCCGACAACGAGTCCATCGACGACAGGGTTCTGTCCATCG